ATGTGCTCCAGAGGAGACCTAACTGTAAATATTTGAAAGGCGCAGGCTGCTTTGGAACAAGGCAGATTGCCGTTTTCCTCCGATGTTCGATGTTGGCGGAGGCCTAACATCAGGCCCCAGCTGCTGGGTGTCATGTGCTGGGAAATAACAAATGAGCCTCACTCATAAATTAAGCAAAGGCCGAGCTGCTCCCTGTTTTCACTATAAATTAAATCCAGGCGTTGACTCCGGGGGCAGAGCGAACAGCTCCTTGCCCAGGTTCTCTCGCCTGCAGCGGCCCCCAGAGCAAGCCCTTTCCTTCTGCGGCTTCAGGCTCCTCATCTGCAAAGTCCAGGGCCTTGTGCCGGCTCCACAAGCTTCCGGGCTCCTCCAGGAGGTTGGGGACCTTTCTCCGCCCTGAGCTTTCCCCCTAGGAAAAGGCACCGAAGTCAGCTCGGGTGACCAGGCTGGGCCTTCACTGAGCCCCAATCATCCAGCCTCCAGGGAGACGCCCTTCCCTGCCCTACAATAGGCCTGGAAAATGCTTATTGCATCAATTAATCGGTGTGAAATTAGGAAAAAGAGGTACCAGTCTCTCAAATCCTGCTCAGCAGAGGACCTGATGGGACATTATCATCACTGCGCAGTTCATGCTCCCACACGATTTCTCCCCCTCTTCACTCCTTCATAAAACTTCTTCCCAGGTAACTTTCACCCATGCTGGTTATTCTCTCTCTCTCTCTCTCACACACGCACACACGCACGCACGCACACACGCCAGCTCTGTGAGGGCATTTTCATCACTTTCATTCACTGCTAAATCCAACCAGCACCAGGCACCACAGACATCCAACAAGTACTTGCTGAATGAACAAATACAGGAGTGAGTGAATGGAGTAACAACAGTCACCTTGGGAGACTTCGGCCAATGCCAGGTGCCCAGACCCACATTTGAGGTTTTGATTCTATTAGGCTCAGTCGAGACCCAAAGGTCAGAATTTTTTTAAGTCCCCAGGTGATGCTAATATGACGCCTGGTTGAGCACCACTGTCTTCACCCCTGAGCACCTCTTTACCAGCTGTGAAAACCTGCAGAGGCTCCCATTGCTCTCAAAGTACAATCACAATGGAATGAAATTAGGGTAGGGTAGGATAGGGTAGGGTAAGGTAGGGTAGGGTAGGGTAGGATAGGGTAGGGTAGGGTAGGGTAGGGTAGGGTAGGGTAAGGTAGAGTAGGGTAGGATAGGATGAATAAAATTGAAAACCTTGCTCAGTCATCAGCACCTCTTTACCATGGACCATGGGCACTACCGTCCCGCCTCCTCTCCCTCCTCCTCACCTCTCTCAATTAACCTCCCACCACTCTCCCTCAACTCTCCTTCTTCCTTTCCCTCAAGCACATAAACCTGTACCCACCTCAGGACCTTTGCACCTACTGTCCCCTGCCTGGTCTGCTGTTCCTTCACCTAGCAGCTTCCCCATTCAGGTCTCAGAACAATGCCACCTCCTCCAAGAGGCCGCTCCTGACCGTCTTTCTGGCAGTAGTGCCTCTCCCAGCCCCCCTCCATCTCGTGAGCCTGTTTATGTTCTTCATAACACCAGTTACTATCTGAATTTCTCATATTTATTGTTTGCTCATGTGTTTGTCGTTTGCTTCCATGTAGGTTAGTAAGGGCAGGGACACATCGTAGGTGTTTGGTAAATATTTATTGAATGAGTGCAATCCTGTCCCACTATTTGTCAGTGCCTTGAGTACACACGGTTTCTTTTGTGATTAATCATTTTAGTTCCCCTAGCAGGATTCCTCAGCATCGGCTCTAGCAGGATTCCTGGACATCAGGCGCTGCTGACATGTGGGGCAGGATCTTTCTCTGTCCCGGGCTGTCCTGTGCACCCTAGGTTGCTGAGCAGCATCCCTGGCCTCCGCCCACTAGATGGCAGTAGCACCCATCCCCAGTTGTAACAACCAAAAATGTCTCTAGAAATTTCAAATGTCTCAGGTGGGAGGGGGCGGGGAGCCGCCCCAGCTGAGAACCCCTGCCCTGCAGTGTTGCCCGGCTCACTGCTGGGCACCCAGATGGCTGAAAACAAATGTTTTTGGACTAGCTAATGAAGGCCGGCCTCTGACGCAGTTCCACCATGTGACCAGCAGGTGGCAGAAAAGACCGCCTTTTCACTAGCACTGTCGACCACTTGGTGAAAAAAAAGTTTTTCATTTTTTCCCCCCAGCCTAGTCACTGATTTTGCAACCGTGCTCACTCCCTCTATGGGGCTTTGGGAGCAATCCGCTCGGTTTGCGGTCTTCCAGACTAGTCAGAAAGGAAGCAGCCGCCGTGTCCTAACCCAAACACAGACAGAAAGTCGAGCGGTTGCAGGCATTGGCAGGAGTGGAAAGAAAATCATTTTGGAATCAGGCAGATCTGAATATTAGTCCCAGTTCTATCCCTTTCTCTCCTGTGCCCTCGGCCAGTTAACTTAGCCTGTCCGAGTGACACACAGTAACCACATCCGGCCATGAACCTGCTCAGAAAAGCTGTGGTAAAGGATTGAACCCTATTTTGGAAGGAGAAATAGGCCACTAGCTCTTTTTGCACCTTTGTGCAACTTACTTAACCTCTCTGGTCTTCCATTTCCTTACCAAAGAGGAACTGGTTCCAAGGCAGCCATGAGGATGAAATGAAGCCAGAGCAGGCACACAGGGGCTGCAATCTGTAATGTTCTGTTTATGATTAAGGGTTTGTTTTTGTTACTTTACGGTCCTGCGCTCCCTCAGCCTCCTCCGGCCCACACAACACACAGCTGCATGGACACAGCACACACTCTGGGCAGCACAGGCACTGAGATGACAGCCAGGCCGGAGCTCAGTCCACAGAGGTTCTCGGGCTGGTCCCCTGGCCTCCACTGGTGGCCTGTGTGGAACAGGAGGCCACAGCCCACCGAGATGGGTCCGTGAGGCCCCAGGCCAGCCTCCCTCCCACCACAGCCAGGATCCAGGCTCAGATGGCCTGGTCCTGCCTCCGTCTCAGGCGGAGCAGGCGGGCCGCTGCCAGGAAGGCTGCCCCGGTGAGCACCTCGGCGACGAAGCTGACCCAGCCCAGGGCCAGGGACCAGCCGAAGCGGATGTCCACCTGGTCCAGAAGCGCCTTCTCCTCCAGGAGACACAGCGCCTCCCGGAAGGCAGCGGCCGAATACGCAATGTAGATGCTGATGCCGGCCAGGGTGACCAGGGCTGTGGGGAGACAGGGGAGAGCAGGTCAACCCCTAGCACTGCCGTCCTCGCCCAGCCCAGCAACACTGCCTCTCCCAGCGCCTGTCCTTCCCACCCCGGGCCCCAGCCGGCCCCTCTACCCGATGCCCATTCCCTTCCCTTCCCTTCCCTTCCCTTCCCTTCCCTTCCCTTCCCTTCCTCCTGCCATCAGTTAATTCCTGTCTAACCCCACATCTCAGTTCACATGTCTGTTCTGGTCAAATGCCCCTGTGGCCTCACGGCCCAGGTCAGAACCGCAATTTTGCATTTATTTGTGAAATGACAACTAATGTCTGTCTGCCCTAACAGGCTGTGAGCTCCGGAGGCCTCACCCTGGATTCCCCAGCACCCAGAACAGCTCATAGCACGAGGTGGGTGTTCCGAGATACGTAATTGGAGCTGTGCCGGCCGGTCCTGTAGCCACTGGCCACAGTGGTGGTCCAAACTTAACTGGAATGGACAGCTCAGCCTTTCATTGGCACCTGCCACATGTCAGGGGCTCCGTGGCCTGGTGTGTGGCTCCCCCACAGCACAGCGCAGGTTAGAGAACTTCGCCATCACAGAAAGTTCCACAGGGCAGCTCTGGGTGCGAGGCTTAGTCATGGGCGACTATTAATGCCGATATTAATAACCATAAGGAGTAGTCCAAGACCTCACAATATTTGCACCTCCGCCCATTGCTTTTCTTTTTCCCTCCATGGACTCCGAGGGTGTATGTCATCACTGTGTGGGGTTTTTTAAGGAGGGACCATTTCAAGCCACAGGAAGTAGGGAGGCCTGAGAACAGCCGGCCATGTGCTTCAGCCCATCCTCCAAAGCCTCTGGGCTGCCAGAAACCCCATTGGCCGTTCTGTAATCAACCAAAGCCGTCGCCGTCCAAGCGGCAGGTGCACAGGAGAGTGGGGCGGCCAGGGCGAGAGTCCGTGACAGCCCCCGGCCCGTGGCAGACGCCCTCTCGGTGTCTCAGTGTGGCTTCCTTGGTGAAATCATGGGAGTAATTCTCAGGACCTGCCCCAACCCCTCTGCCTCTCTCCTGGGACCACAGATGCAGGGACCCTGGGCTGGAAACCGCTCATCCCCTCCAGCTGGGATATCACAGGCGGGGAAACTGAGCCCCAGAGGCGATGGGACCCCGCNGACAGCTCAGCCTTTCATTGGCACCTGCCACATGTCAGGGGCTCCGTGGCCTGGTGTGTGGCTCCCCCACAGCACAGCGCAGGTTAGAGAACTTCGCCATCACAGAAAGTTCCACAGGGCAGCTCTGGGTGCGAGGCTTAGTCATGGGCGACTATTAATGCCGATATTAATAACCATAAGGAGTAGTCCAAGACCTCACAATATTTGCACCTCCGCCCATTGCTTTTCTTTTTCCCTCCATGGACTCCGAGGGTGTATGTCATCACTGTGTGGGGTTTTTTAAGGAGGGACCATTTCAAGCCACAGGAAGTAGGGAGGCCTGAGAACAGCCGGCCATGTGCTTCAGCCCATCCTCCAAAGCCTCTGGGCTGCCAGAAACCCCATTGGCCGTTCTGTAATCAACCAAAGCCGTCGCCGTCCAAGCGGCAGGTGCACAGGAGAGTGGGGCGGCCAGGGCGAGAGTCCGTGACAGCCCCCGGCCCGTGGCAGACGCCCTCTCGGTGTCTCAGTGTGGCTTCCTTGGTGAAATCATGGGAGTAATTCTCAGGACCTGCCCCAACCCCTCTGCCTCTCTCCTGGGACCACAGATGCAGGGACCCTGGGCTGGAAACCGCTCATCCCCTCCAGCTGGGATATCACAGGCGGGGAAACTGAGCCCCAGAGGCGATGGGACCCCGCNCCCCGCGGGGGGGAGGCACCTACCTCCAAAGAGGAAGAGGGTCCCCGTGAGCAGGAGGAGGAGGGAGGCTCGGAGAAGGAAGCTTAGAAACCCCGTCATCCCCCCAAACACCATCAGGATCAGGCTGAAGGGAAGCAGGATCACGAAGGTCCCGTGCATGGCTGGGGAGAGAGGACGGGGGAGGGGAGGCAGACAGGGGTTATGAACATCCTTCAGTCAGTCAACAAACGTTCCCGAGCACCCCCTGTGGCCTCCACCCGGATGCTAGGGGAGAGGGGAGTTAACACAGCCATTGCTACTGCTACTTAGAAGAAGAAGAGCTTGTTACTGAGTCCTGTCTGTGCAAGGCCTCGTGTTGCATAAGCCTCACCCTTAATTCTCATGGAGTCAAGTAGTGAACAAATAAGTGACAGGGTTGAGAGATGGTGACAAATGCATGGCGAGGGAAGTGAATAAAATAGAGAGGGGGTTCGGGCAGTGGCTCCACTGAGGAAGTGACAGGCCAGTCAAGACCTGACAGGTGAGGGAGCAGCCCTGCGGAGTGAAGGACAGGGGGCAGGGGTCACGGGCCGGAGGGGAGGCAGATGCACAGGCTAAGCTGGGAGCAGCCGGGGAGGTGGAATGGGAAGCCTGCTGAGGGGAAGACGGCGGGGGCGGCAGGGGGTGATGGAAAAGAGAGATACGTTACGTTAGGAGGCATGATCGGAACTTGCGTTACAAAATCAGAAAGTAGAAAAGGATGAATTAGGTGAACGTCAAGAACTGTGGCGAGGTGGGGGTGGGGAAAGGGACGGCGGCCATCTGGCGTTTCAAGGTCTCAGGATCTAAACACTTGGCACCACTTAGGCTCTGAGCTCCCTGGCAGCCAAAGCAGAAAGGGAAACAGTTGCCATGTTCTTTTTTCACCAGTCATTCATTTACCAACTATTTATCGGTCATTGACCACGAGCTGAGCACTGAGCCTCTTTAAATCTTTTTTGGCAACAAGATAGGCATGAAAATAAACCCTTTCCTCTCATCCTTCAGGGCAAGCGAAGCAGCATTTCTTCCCCTGCACCCACGTCTGCCACTGCCCCCCTGTTCTGTGTCCCCTCAGCTCCCACAGTCACCTGGCCTGGCCTTTGTTTCCTACTGCTGAAGGCATCTCAGTCCCTTCTCCGTCTCACCTGTTGGGCTGTGAGTTCCCTGACGAGCCAGGTCTTATCTCCTTCTGCACAGCGGTATCCCTGAGTTTCTAGTCGATCTCTTAGGATACAGGGAGTGTTCAACAGGTATTTGTTGACCTAATTAATTAAGAGCTAGACAGTGTGGCTCTAAGGCAGTAAAAAGATGGCAGGTTTTTTTTCTTCCAGTGTGCTTAGGACATACTGTGCTCCCTGAGTAAGCTCTGGGGTGTGTGTGTCTGTCTGTCTGTCTGTGTGCACTAGAAGGAGAGAAAGGCAAAGATGGAAGGAGAGAGTGACAGAGACTAAAAAGAAAAAAATATATCTTTAAATATTTGAGGGTTTAGCTTTGCCTTCTTTATTTTCTACCCCTCCTGCACCCAATTCTGTCCAGAAGTAAGTAGGAAAAGTAGTTACACCGGTCAGAGGTCATGCATCACGTGCCAGGGGTGTCACTACGCTGAGATGAACTGGGTGTTATAATAGACATTACTAATGACCCCGATATCTGTTTTCCCTCCTCCCTGGGCATGAAGACTACGCCAGAGTAGGCAGGGCCAGGCCAGTGCATAGTGAGAGGAAATGCCTAACAGGATGAGAGAACAACACACACACACACCCCCAGCCACCTGTCCACCCTTCTTCTCAGGCTGGGCTTCCTAGGAGGCCTGGGGTTGGGAGGCTGTTTCTAAGAAATTCAAAAGAAACCGAGGAAGCCTATGAGATGGCCTCAAGGTGATTAAATATGTGGACTTTAGAGCCGGGCGATGAGCATTTGAATCCAGGCTCCGACTGGGCGCCTTGGGCATGTCCCTTCATCCCCCAGAAGCCCCACCTCCACGGGTGTGAAACGGGCAATCCTATGGGGCCCCTGGGGCTGTGAGCACAATATGTCCAAGGACCATGGGGCAACAGGGGGAAATGCAAAGAGCCCAGTCCTGTCCCGTGGAGCAAGTACCAAATAAATCATCACCCTGCCAGCGATCGAGATGATGAAAACAGTGATTCAGTGTGACTTCCACCGTGGCCACATCACCTTGTCTCCAGCCCCCTAAACGCCAACCACCTTGGTGAGCTGAGGGAACACGACTGGTCTCCCTCCCAGCCTGTCACAGGAGCAAACGTGATTCAGGGCATGAGGCCTGTGGTCTTCGTTCCTTCCTCCTTCCCTCCCTCCCTTCTTTCCTTTCTTAAGGAAAAATCCTGGGCCAGGAAACACGACAGCTGGTGTGAAAACCTGGTCCTGAAGGTCTGGAGCCTGCGAGGCCCTGCCTCCAGACGGCGGCTGAGAAATGAAATCATTTCTCATTTAGAAATTAATGAGGTTTCCCAGAGCCGCTCCAGCCCTGGCGGGCGCACGCAGGGTCCCCGACACGCCGCAAGCCGACTTGATGTACGCATTCAATTAAAAGCCGAGTAAGAACACGCTCCCCTTGGGAGAGTTGTAAGATCCCCCGCTGAAATAAATTTGGTTTAGCTTTTTTTTTTTTTTTTTGCATGTACCTTAGTCTTTGTTATTTCTTAATTTTTCAGAACTGCAGTCTTGGAACAAGAGTTCTGTTCTCTTTGGATATGTACCCATCTCTAACCACATCTCACTCAGAAACAAATGCCTGTGGGCCTCTGAGAAGGGCCGAGCTCTACCGCAGAGCCTGGGGTGCCACTAGGGGCAAGGCCCCTGTCCTCAGGGACAGGAGAGAGACAGGAGAGGAAGCAGGAGGTAGTTACAGACTCGGATGTGTCAAGAGGAAATAAGCATGATGATTGGGGGGGGGACAGGGCAGGCAGTGACTAGGGGGCACCCCTTTGGATACAGTGGTTGCATTCTTTCTTTCCTCGGGCTGCCGTAACAAAGGACTGCAAACTAGGTGTATAACACAGCAGGGCTTTCTTCTCTGGGCTCTGGAGGCCTCAAGTCCAAAACCAAGGTATCAGCAGGGCCATGCTCCCGCTCGAAGCTCTAGGGGAGAACCCTTCCTCGCCCCTTGCAGCTTCCAGCGGTTGCTGACCATCCCTGAGGTTCCTCGGCTTGCGCCAGCCTCACTCCAACATCTACCCCCATCTTCACATGGCCTTCTTTTCTCTCCTCCGTGGTTCTCCTTTTCCTATAAGGACACTTATAGGGTTTAGAGCCCAGCGATTTAATCCAGGATGATCTCATCTCAAGATCTGTAACTTAATTGCATCTGCAGAGACACTTCTTTCCAATAAGGTCCCTGCCTGGCCGGGCGTGGCTCAGTGGTTGAGCGTCGACCTAGGACCCAGGTGATCGGGGTTCGATTCCCGGTCAGGGCACATGCCCGGGTTGCGGGCTAGGCAGCTGATCAATGACTCTCTCATCATTGATGTTTCTATCTCTCTCTCTCCCCCTCCTTTCCTCTCTCTGAAGTCAATAAAGATATGTTTAAAAAAAAAAAATCTTGGAGAGAAAACAACAACAAATAAGGTCCCATTCCCAGGTACAGGGGTGACCTGTCTTTCGCGAGGGTGGAGGGGTGACACCTTCCAGTCCATTACGGTCCACTTATCAATCGGACCACAGATAGATGAGAGCTAAGATTGCTCTGTAAAATTAATGTTAATAATAAGGTTGGGAGGCCATGGCTTCATCAAGGGCAACTGTGTACCCAAATGCAAGAGATCTTTTTGACTCAAAAATGCTTTGTTGCTAGACAACCTACTGAATGAGAGAGGATATTTGCAAATGATACATCTAATAAACAGTTAATATCCAAAATACATAAAGAACTCATACAATTTAACACCAAAAAGCAAACAATCCAGTTTTTAAAAAATGAGCAGAGGGCCTGAAAAGATACTTCTCCAAAGAGGGCATACAGATAGCCAATAGGCCTATGAAAAGACGATCAATGTCACTAATCATCAGAAAAATGCAAATTAAAGCTACAATGAGATATCACCTCACACCTATCCGAACATCAACAAACGACAAGTGCTGGCGAGAATGTGGAAAAAAGGGAACCCTGGCATCCTGTTGGTGGGAATGCAGATTGGTGTGGCCACTGTGGAAAAGTGTGGAAGTTCCTCAAAAATTAAAAATAGAACCACCAGCCCGGCTGGGCGTGGCTCAGCAGTTGAGCATTGACCTAGGATCCAGGAGATCACCCTACGATTCCCAATCAGAGCACATGTCCGGGTTGTGGGCTCGATCCCCAGTCAGGGACTTGAAGGAGGCAGCCAGTCAATGAAGACTCTCTCATCACTGATGTTTCTCTCTCTCTCTCCCTCTCCCTTCCTCTCTCTGAAATCAATAAAGATATATATATTTTTTAAAAATAGAATCACCATATGATCCAACAATTCCACTTCTGGGTATTTATCCAAAGAAATACAAAATACTGCTTGGAAAAGATATATGCACCCCCATGTTTATTGCAGAACTACTCATAATAGCCAAGATATGGAAGCAACTTAAGTGCCCATTGATAGGCGAATAGGTGAAGAAGATGTAGTACATATATACCATGGAATATTACTCGGCCATAAAAAATAATGAAATCTTGCCTTCTGCAACAACATGGATGGACCTAGAGGGCATTATGCTAAGTGAAATAAGTCAGACAGAGAAAGACAAATGATGAATGATTTCACTTATATATGCAATGCAAAAACAAATAAATAAACAAAACCAAAAAAGTGCTTTGTTACAAGTTAAAAGAAAGCAGACCCAGAAAGAAGCAAAGATGCTCCGGCCAAGGAGAACTGTGTATGTGACTGCTCTCTTGTCACACTGTTCAAAGAACCGCTCCGTGGAAAAACCAGGCCCCCACAATGCTCCGAGATCAGGGAGCGCCCCGGTCGTTAGCCAAGTAACAGTCTGCTCCTGAAGACAGCAGGCACGTACCTTTCCTGCAGAAACATCAGAAGCTCTGGCAGAAGGAGAAAGTCTCGGGAACTATTTCCCAAAGAGGTAAATGCCATTGTCTTTATTTTCAAACCTCAGTGTGACTTTCAGACTCCAAAATGGGCTCAAAGAC